GAGTGCCGTGGGGTCAGCCTAGCTCACAGCAACCTCAAACTCCTGGGCTCAAGCGATCCTCCTGCCTCACCCTCCCGGGTAGCTGGGACTACAGGCACATGCCACCATGCCTTGCTAACTTTTTCTATTTTTAGTTGTTTAGCCAATTTCTTTCTATTTTTAGTAGAGACGGGGGCAGGGGATGTCTCACTCTTGCTCAGATTAGTCTCAAACTCCTATGCTCAAACAATCCGCCCGCCTCGGCCTCCCAGAGCGCTAGGATTACAAGCGTCAGCCACCGCGCCTGGCTCTGATTTGCTATTCTTAAGGAAGCAACATTCATCTTCCTACCTCTAATACGGCCCCTTTCCACTCTACTTCTGATGTAGCAGGTGAAATAATTTCCCCAAATTCCAATTTGATTGATTACATAATTCCCATTGCCCTTGGGATAAGAACTAGAGTCCTTCCTAACGCGGCATGCTGTGGCCTTGGCCGCTGACTTCAGCCACATCTTCCACCACTGTCGTCTTCTTTTTCTAGGCTCCTGCCATGCTGCACTTCCTTTGGTTCTTCAATCATACCATTATCTCCCACTGCAGGGCCTCAGCACACGTGTTCCCTCTGTTTAGAACACTCCTCCTCCCTCTTCACTACTGACTCATTATGCTCAAGCAAAAGGTCATTACCCTGACTGTAGACTAGGTTAGTCCTTCTCCACCCTCTGCATGTGCTCTGCCATTTTTATTGAGTTACCTGTTTAACAACTCGCTTCCGCACTAGATACGAAACCCCACGAGGGCAGGAACATGTCTCTATCCTTCATTCATGCATCCCCAACCCTCGGCATAGTGCCTAGATTCTTGGGGAGGTAGGCTAAGTTTCTGGAACAAACAAACTTTAAAGTCTGAGCATTTTACAGAAATTATTTTTCCTTTTTCATGTGACAGTCCAGAATGGGGTGTTTCAGGTCTGTGGCAGTTTTACTCCATGCAGCCACACAGGGGCACAGGCAGATGGAGGCCCTACCATCTTCAACATGCGGCTTCCAAAGTCTTCCTGGTAATTTCCATCGTAGTTAGCTGGAAATGGGACAGAGCAAGGAGGAGCCTTCATGGAAGTGTTCCCTTCTCTTCTGCTCCTTTTCCATTTGAAGGAACATAGTCATTTGGCCACATAACTGCAAGAAAGACTGGACTATGTGGGCTAGCTGGCCAGCCAGGGTCAGGCACTGCTCTACTACGTAGGTCAGGCAAGGGGAGAAAGGATTTGGGTAGAGAGATGGCTGCTCCGCCAGAATGCTCAGTCAATATTTACTGGAAAAAAATAATTTTTAAATCATCGTATTGCTTTGCTTTAGATGCTGATATCAATACCCAAACTCCCAGAATCATTATGTTTCTTTCATTTTGTTGGCAGCGTTTCAATATCCAAACAACTAGCTTCAATAAAAGGTAAGGCACGGGATGACTGAGATGTATGTGTTTCTGCTCTACCGCGATGGCATGCCAAGAATTAAAAAAAAAAGGACATCAAAGAATGCCAGAGATGTAAGGGGACTTTTGGATAAATCATCAAACATTAATGATGTTTTTAAGATTTGGGAACTGAGGTCCCATGGTAGGAATTAGCTTGTTTAAAACTTAGCCCATTAAAGGCAGAGCTAAGCTGAGACCCTGGGTCCCCTGACTCCTAATTCAGTGTTCTTCTCACCGTATGCAGTTGCTTCTCCGTGGGCAGCATCTTCAGGCTGTCTAGAGCAGGACCATGAGTATCTGACTCATAAACGTTCACTGGAACTCAGGATGCAATCAACCCCCAGCTGCCTTGTTGATTGAGTGAGAACTACAGTGTGGCCAACTCCCAAAGTGTAATTATTTGCCCTTGGAATTCAGTCATATAGGTAAAATATCTTTAGAATTCATGACATTGCCATGGTATATACTCGGATCATTATCCTACTCTAAAATGTGCAGCTTCACATGTCTACAGAGTAGCAAGCGCAGCTGGACATTACCGCATTACAGTTGTTTTCCCTCCTAGATGGCCAGTCTCTTCAGAAGAGATGCTTTGTATTTGTATTTAAATAAATCTCCATCTTTATAAAAATATTTTCACACTATGACAACACAACAGACCTCTGATTTCTGTTTCAACAAGTTACACAATCTCGGGTACTTTTGAGAACTGTTCCATCACATTTCTAATATAACTTCTCCCTCTGGGAGGTTGAGGGGGGATTGTAACTCTATCACCCCCACTGCCCGCATCCCCACCCTCCCACCCCCACACCAACCATTCCTGGCACCAGGCTCCTTAAGTTGGACCATTGAGCCACATTTATCCCCCTCCCTGAAGAAACCACAGATAAACATGGCCCATCTTCCCAGAAAGTATTTCATTCAATGGGGAGTAATTTGAAATGTTATTCATTGAATTCAGACATGGATAAGAGTCAATACGAACCCACAATTTCTCTGCTGGCTGCTTGGGCTAATGCCCTTGATCTGATGGGAAGTAGGGATGTGGTGTGAGTACATCTTTGTCTCTAATACCCAGGGTAGTTTTGCAGTGGGAAAGTTCAAGAAGTGCTGAAGTATTGGGAAAATTACCGGCCTAGAGAGTGGAGAGCAGGGCCGTAGTTTTTAGCTCAGCCACATACTGTCTATGTGAGTTTGAGCAAACAACTTCTCTCCTAGCTTTTTAAGTCTTCATTCACAAAAATAATGGATATGAGGAAAAGTTCTAAAATGAGGTGATTCTGACACCTTGCTGTTTTGAGAATGGTGTTTCTACAACACTGAACGTTAGAACTCACTAAATCAAGTGCTTAAGGTTTAGTGTTCCAGGGCAGGTACGGAGGAAGAGGCAGAGAATTGTTGTGAAGTTCAGGTTAGCTGGGTTCAACATATGTGTACTGAGGCCCACAACACTCCAGGGCCTGGAAATTAATGCAGAGACATAAGAAATAAGATATAGTGACTGTCCTCAGGGAACATAACAGCCCAATGTGCTGCCCGAGATGGTAGCTACTAGCCACATATCTACCAAACACATGAAACTTGGTTAATTGGAATTGAGATGAATAAGGTTTAAGAGACTTAGCAGGAAAAAACTTGTAAAATATCTCAATAATTTGACTGACTACCTTGATTACATGTTAAAATGACAATTTTTTTAACATATTGGGTTAAATAAAATGTATTATGAAAATTAATTTCACCTGTTTCTTTTTACTTTTCTAATGTGGCTACCAGAAAATTTAAAATTATCATCATGGCTCACATTATATTTCTTTTGGGCAGCACCGATCTAGAAGATAATTTGGACAGATAAACATGTTTCAGTGTGAGAGCTATGAAAAGGTTGTTTTAGGGAACTACGGAAGCACAAAGGAGGGACGCGTAGCCCCATGTGGGGAGGGGGGCGGGAGTTCGGGAAAGAGTCCTACAGAATACGCTGCCTGAAAACAACACCTGGAGGCAGTGTGCACTGTGGTTTGAAACCAGACCGGTTGTGTGACCTTGGGCAAGCTACTTGACCTCTCTGTGCCTCAGTTTCTTCACTTTTAAGGTGAGAATGATATTAGGACCTACCTCATGGGGCTGACATATGAATTTAATGAGTCGAATCACATCCATCCACCCCACTGAGGCGAGGCTGGCGTACCCAGTAGGAGCTGTGTAATTGTTCTTTGTGATTGTCCACCAGAACACAAGTTCCAAGAAGTCAGGGATTGTTTCTGATGCCACTTACTGCTCTGTACCCAGAACTAACACAAGGCCTGGCAACAAATACTTGCTGATAAATACTCGTTGGATGTATAGAGTGAGTGTGGAACTGCGCACAGTTCGATATTAAAGCGTAAACCGTGAGCTGGGGAAGAGCAGAAGAGGGCAACATGGCTTGATGCCTTCCCCTGCACCCCCATTCCAGAGGCAAGAGGGCCAGTGAACAATGCCAAAAGAGAAACAGCAATCCTTGGCATTTTGAATTGCACTCAGCCCTTGCAATGTGCTTTCACATGCTAGTTCACAGCGCTTCGAGGCAGAGAGGGAAGGAATTTGGAGGCAACCTGCTGGGTTTATTAAGGGAAGAACCCAACCATAAAAACAAGAAACTAAAGAATCTCACAAAATATCATCAGCGTTGGTAGGATAGCCAAAGCTCCTCATTATCTTTTATTTTTAATATTTTTAGTGCTGTTTTTGCCATGAGCATATGCTATTTTATAGTCAGGGGGAAAATGCATGCTGTTTTTTAAAAGAGATGGAGGAGAAGAATGAGAAGTTTGCTTGTCCAGATGGAATTCCCACTCAGAGTGTAATCAGACCTAAACTTCAGCAGAGGGTTGAAAAATGTCCAGATTCCACAACCACCATCGGGATGCCCTTGCAAGGAGATGTTCTTAAGTGGCCCATCTTTCTATAGGCTCTGAAGTCAGACAGACTTTCAAATCCTTCCTTTGACACTTCTTAGCAATGCAACCTTTATTTCACCCAAATATAGGCTGGGCCCTGCTCAGAGATACAGTCAAAACTGAGAAGGCCCACACACTCCCTCCCTTCACCCATTCCTCTTAACTCTTGTTCCTCTGCCTCATCTTTACTTGAAAAATAGATGCTTAAAACCCTTCAATGCCTTCTCTTTCCACTTTGAAGAAGATCCTGGTTCCATATCTAGCACCTACCTATTTGGAGGAGCAAACACCCTTCCAGCTCCCAGACTCCAGCCATAACTGTCTTCTTCCAACTGGTCCAACGTGCCTGGCTCTTTCTGATCTGAGCCTTTGCACATGCAGCCGGCTCCCTGAGCCTGGAACCCTCAGCAAAGCCCTAATCCCACCTTTTGCTTGGCTGGCTTCTTCTCACCCTGTTAGTCTTAGCTGAAATGTTAATCTACTCCCAGAGGCCTTCCAGACAACCTGTCTAAGTAGTTTTCCTCCCAGGCCCACTCTGGAATTTGTTTCCCATCTTTGCACCTCCTTTGCTTCCTATATCACAAGTTGCAAATATGTATATTATGTATATATGTGGAAAATAATTATCAAATATATATAAAACAAATATATTAACATATGTATGCACTCACATATATCTTGACTATTATTTCTCCACTAGATTGTAAGATGTATGAGGGCAGAGATCACATCTGGTTTTGTCCCCTCTGTATGCTGAGTCCCTTAGGCAAATATTGGGCACATAGTAAGTGCTCAATACAAAAATCACATTATTCCAACTGAACATCATCCTTTGCACCTATAATTTTTGCACATTACCTGGGCTGAAAGCCGTGAGATTTTGTTCTTCTTTTCTTCTTATTCATTCATTCATTCAACAGCCTTTATTAGCACCCACTATATAGCAGGCATTTGTGCTGGTCACTGAAAATGTAGTGACAATCTTCCTCATGGAGATTGCTTTCTAGTTGGAGAGAAAGGCTGTTAAACATGTGATAACTGTAAAGTAAGATAAGTTCTTCACTAGGGTTATATTGGTGAGTAAGAGAACATAGAGCAAAAGAATTTTCTTCATGGTGCCTTGTGCATTTCTCTGTGTTCACTAGGACACACTGGAAAGGAGTGAATTAGCACTGCCTTTTCAAGGAGCTGAACCCAGAGAAACCAGCAGGGAGCTCACTCTGTTTGCCGCCACAAGTCAAAGACAGCCCTTATCTGTCACTAGATCAAAGAGCTTGTCCTGAATGTCATTCTTCTTTATCATACTGATGTGAAGTGATGCTGTGTCTGAATTACAATGCAAATTCCACAAGAACAGGACTTTATTATATTTAGTGTTTAGATCCTTAATACCAAGGACTGAGCCTAGCACATAGCAGGTGCTCCATAAATATTTGTTGAATAACTGAAAGAAATTATAGATCGGAAAACCGAAGGCTAGAGAGGAGGGGTGTTATCCTAAGGTCACATGCTAGCAGGTGGTAAATCTCATCCTAATTCTACTAATTCTACCACTCCCAGCTAGGGAGCAACGGGCCCAAGGACAGGGTCACACTGACATACACCTTCCAAACCTATCCCCACGTTCCCTTGGAGGATACAGCCCTGTGTCTGGGCAAGGGTTTTTTCTAATCTGGGATGCTTCAAGGCACATTTCTTCTCTCATAGCTCTGAGGAAGGGCTCAGATCTGGAAAAAGCCATTGCCACCGCAGCTCTGATTTTTAGAAACTCTTCTGACCCTGATGGTAAACTTGGAAAACCTACTGCCAAAACTCTGCTGCAGACTCAATTTAGGAATTTCACAGAGGTAAGAGAACTAATATGTGTGAATAAATAGGGGCCCCACCATCATGGCTGACTCGGAGAGCCAACGACTCCAGCTCCAGGGCCCCATCGTGATGTTTCACTCCACAAATGTTTATTGAGAACCTGCCTCATGCCAGGCAGCAACCTGGGCACTGGCGTTAATGCAGTGAACAAGCTGGCAATCCCGCAGACTAAAGGAATATGCTGAAAAAGTAATTAGAAATACTCAAAGGTTGTGAAAGACTAGGGCACACAGTGGGAAAGTAAAACACAGGAACCAAATTGCGGCAGGTGATCAAAGAGGACTCGTGGAAAATTAAAGTACTGCTGAGATCTGAAGAGTGAGCAGGCTTAGCTCAGCATTGGGGAGTGAGAAGATGGCATTCTGAGCAGAGGGAATTGCTTATGCAAAGGCCCTGAGGCAAGTCGAAGATCAGAGGGAAGGCCAGTATGTGGTTGGTGGGCAGTGAAGGTAAGAAGCAGCCGCAGAGAACGCTGGGGAGGTGAGGAGAAGCCAAATTTTACAGAGGCATAGCTCGAGGGCGGGAGGAAGCAGAAATGGTTTCTAAGTCCTGGTCTAAGAAATTGCACAGCTACAGTCAGAGCACAAACTAGGGTGGAAGTGGGGATGGTTAGGAAGGAAGGGAGTCCCGGTGGGGAAGCAATCCAAGCAAAAGTTGATGGCTTGGATTAGAGTGGTGAAGATGGAGGGAAACAGACAAAGATGAGAGACTTCAGGAAGGTGGAACGACCAGGATCTGAAAATGGACTGGCTGTGCGAGTCGGTGGACAGGAGAGCAAATGCTGACACCCCAGTTTCTGGTCCCATTCCCAGAGAAGAGAAAGATTGGAAAAGAAGCAGATCTGAGGTGGGGTGGGGGTTGGCGGAGGTGGGGAGGTCCATTATGATGTGTCAGTTTCAAGATGTCCATGAAATATTCAAGTGAAGAAACTCAGGCAGCAACAGGATATATGAGTTGGGAGGCGAGAATAGAGATCTCTGTTCAAATTACAGAAATGAGAGTTGGGAGCATATAAACATCACTGACCTAAACAGAGTAAACTAAAGCACCTGGGGGTGTACTTCTCAAACTTCCGTCACTCCAACACCACCTTCAGTCTTTTCCCCACATCTGCCTGCAGCCTGTATATTCTCATTTATTTCGAATTTTTTATTTACCTTTCTCTATACTTAAATACATTCTTATAAGGGCACTTCACTATTCTAAATATAAATTCAGCGGGTAAAAGTGGAAGATGATAGTAAAAAATAGATGACTAGTAATTCTCACTTAATATTTATTCTCATATCACCTAAAATTACATTTACATTCTACCAGCAGTATGTGTTTATGCTTTGGGAAGTACGGCTTAGGGAAAATGTGTAAGAAGAAAAGAGGGCCTCGTAGTAGGTCAAACCACCAATATTTATTGGTAGGTAGAGCAAGAAAAAACATAGAGGCAGTCTCTAAGCTTCTATGTGTGTTCTGAGATATTAAAAAGATGGTATTATATATATATATATACACACACACATATACATATATGCACACATATATATGGTTTTAGTGTACTATAGTTATATAAGATGTCACTCACTGGGGAGAGCTGGGTCAAGGGTACAACTTCCTGTGAGTCAATGATTATTATAAAAATAAGAGAGAAAGAGAGAGAATATAGTGTGATACACAGAAAAATGATTGGAAAGAAATGTTAATAAAGGTAGCTATCTTTGGGTAATGGGATAAAGGATTATGTTCACACTCTTCTTTTTTAATTTTTTTAATGTTCTATATTAAACATGTATTATTCCTGAAATATTTTTTAGGAAAAGCTATTTTTTTCCAGGCAGACATATCAGTCAGACTCTAACAAGAGATAAAAAGTTTGGGGGACTATTTAAAGAACAGGTGGGTGAATAAATCCTATAACATTTGCCTGCATCTGAGACCAAAAGAAATGACATATACCAAAGAGAAAAAGGGCTCATTCATCATGGCCTGGAAAATCCTCAGTGAGCTTTTAACAAATATGAAAATGAAGATCTAGTGGATGCAGCATCTTGATATAACTTATAAATCCTTCGAAAACACCAGAGAAAAATAATTAAAACCAAAGTCATTAGGAAAGACACCTTCAGCCTCATGTCCCTCAGTGGAGGCTGAGTGCAAGAAAGGCAGCCAATTCTGGAATCTCTCTAGCAGCAGACACACACAAGCCTCAGTGTAATCCTGCCCTCTGCCCGAGATGAGAGGCAGAGCGCAGAGCCTTATTTCAGGGACTCAACAGGGACAGTTCATTCTGGGCGTGCTCTGTATCAGTGGTGATAGTTTACCTTGACTCAGCAAACATGCACGTCAATGTCTGTCAGAACACTGCCTCGGCCCCACTAGCCCAGCCGTGAGATTCCCTAAGGCAGATGCACACACATGAGTCAAGGTCAAAAGGTGGTGGAGGCCCACTTCATTCCCAACTGGGCTTTCTCCTAAATTCCCAGGTGGTGTCCTATGGCAAACTGAGCTGGTCCTTTTGGCTAAGCCCTGAGTTCTAAGAGGAACATCTTCTTTCCCATAAGCCTAAACATAATTTTTGGGATCTCATCACCCTCTAGCCAGTCAGATAGAATAAAACCAAGCACCTAAAGGCTCTGCTAGGAAGATACAAAAACAAGATGGTAGGTCACACCCCAGGAGGACTGGACCTCAGTCAACTCTCTGCTCTTATAATGTGCAGAAAAAAGAGAGAATGAGAATCTGCACCCAGCTCGGACCCTTGAGCAAACAGTGTGCCATTCTGCTAGTAAAGTGGTCCTATTTCTATCTTGGAATCTAAGTCTTTCCAAATAGCATTCAGCTGTCTTGGAGCGAGAAGGTGGAGAGCTTCCTTAGCCCTCACTGATAGGATGACCTCTCTAGAAGAACCGGTCCAGAGAAACCAGAGTGGGTCTAAGCCTCTAAGAGGAATTTGCCATCATTCCAAAAGTGCCTTAGTTATTGCTGTGATGGTTTTTTTACACCTAGCACGTGGGTGAGCCTTTGGGGTTGAACTAAACGCAAACACAGTTCAGTATAATAGTGAATCCAATGACTTTAGCACTTTTAATGTCACTGGGGAAGATATTTCACAAGCTGTAGTTTGAAACCAAAAAACCTCTCCATTTATATACTATTCAGATATTTTCCTTCAATCTGTTTATAAGGACTATGAACTTGGATTTGATTTATGATCAAACTAAATGCTAAGCAGTATTCCAAAGCACATGATTTCTTTTAGTAAATTTTATTCTATATATCTGGATAATCTTAAGGCTCAGGTGATAAACACATAATGGATACCTTCCCTAACAAAAGGATTGTATTTTGAAAATCTGAAAACATAACAACATCTATATTCAAAGAAAGGCAGGATAGCTTAGCAGTTAAGAGCATTGGCTCCAGAATCAGGTGTACAAGGCTACAAAATCCTGGCTGCACACCAAAAGCTGCCTGGCTTGTGGCAAGTAACTTAATTCTCGCTAGTGTCTAATAGTGCATCTGTAGAATGAGGATAATAATAGAGCATATTCAATAAGGTCACTGTGAAGATTAAATGAGATAACCCATGAAAAGATTGAGCACAGTGCTTGACTGGTAGCATTGGTGGCAACTTGACAGGTTATTGTCATTAAAATATGTTTATTATTTGCTATGGTTTGGATGTTTGTCCCCTCCAAACCTGATGTTAAAATTTGATTTCCAGTGTTGGAAGTGGGGCTTAACTGGAGGTGTTTGGGTCATGGGGGTTGATCCCTCATGAATAGATTGATGCCCTCTCTGAGGGTACGGTGTGTACTTGCCCCGTTAGTTCTCATAATTGTTAAAAAGAGGCAGGTACCTCCCCTCCCTTCTTTCTTCCTCTCTTGCCATGTGATCTCAGCACATGCTGGCTCCCCTTCACCTTCCATGGTGAGTGGAAGTAGTGTGAGGCCCTAACCAGATGCAGATACCCAATCTTGAACTTTTCAGCCATCAGAATTATGAGACAGGCCAGGCACAGTGGCTCACACCTATAATTCTAGCACTCTGGGAGCCCAGGGTAGGAGGATAGCTTGAGGTCAAGAGTTTGAAACCACCCTGAGCAAGAGTGAGCCCCACTCTTTACCAAAAATAGAAAAATTAGCTGGACGTGGTGGCATGCACCTATAGTCGCAGCTACTCAAGAGGCTGAGGCAGGAGGATTGCTTGAGTCCAAGAGTTTGAGGTTGCTGTAACCTAGGCTGATGCCATGGCACTCTAGCCTGGGCAACAGAGCAAGACTCTTTAAAAAAACAAAACAAACAAAAATTATGAGACGAATAAACCTTTTTTTCTTTAAAAATTACCCAGTCTCAGGTATTCTGTTACAGCAAAACAAAACAGACTAAGACATTATTGCTTATTATCTGCAAACCTAAGTTGTATGTAATGAATTAGGTGTTTACTTATTCTTCTCTATTCTCACAGGGACAGGAAACCAAGCCACAATACAGAGAGCTCCTTTCTGAACTTGATGAGCACATCGAAAATAAGCTTGATTTTGAGGACTTTATGATCCTGCTCTTAAGCATCACTGTCATGTCAGATCTGCTGCAAAATATATGGAGTGTACAAATTGTGAAATAAACAGTTTTAAATATATGGTTGGATAAAACAATGACAAAGATGGTGTTAAATGATTAATTTTTTTCCATCTTATTTTTAATTAATTTAATATACTGATCATGCATCTGGAATTGCCTAGCAGGGTTCTGATTGCTAATATTCAGACCAAATATAACTTAAAAACTTTACACATACTTTTAAGGACAGTTTAAATAATATGGTCTCTGGATGCTTCACAATATGATAGATTTGATGTCACTGAATATCAAATTGTGTTTACGGAGTCAATGGTGACCTAGAGCACTCTACCTAGACCGAGAGCCATTGAGGCACTCATTCATTCATTCATTAAATTTTTGTTGGGCATCTACTTGATGGTACTGCTGAGGATACAGTAATGAACTGGCCAGACCATCCCTTCCTTCAGACATGCTTGCAGAAGTCTAGCAGAGGAGATGAACATTGCACAATTTTTAATCAATTGCATATACTGTGTAGTTATAATCGCTATAAGGGCTAATAGGATGCTAAGACATTATTACGTGATGTGAGTTCAAAGGTCAGAGAAGCTTTACTGACATTCCATAAAAGGCTCAAAACCAAATCCATGGCTGCCAGAAATATGGGTAGAAAGTGGGGTTGTCCACAAGTGGACACAAGGGGACTTCTGAGGAGGATGGAAATGTTCTCTATTTCAATTGTGGTGGTGGTCACATGACTACATGCATTTGTCAAACCCTTAGAACTGCACATAAAAAGAGTGAATTTTACTGTGTGTCAGCTATACCTGAATAAATCTGA